GGGGTGAGGCAAAGGGGAGGGGAGAGAGGGAGGAAAGGACGGGTGAGTAATTCATAGTAACTCGTTTTTTTAGCTAACCGAGGACGAAGTTCCAAGCCATTCGATCGAGTATTAACAAAATTGGATCCGAAGTCCGAAAATCCCGTCGAATCCAAATCACAGTGGCCATAAACTACCATCTACACAAAAATTAAATTGGCGATGATTCTGGTGATCAGCCTGTTTCGGTTTCTGAGGAGATTACTGGGCCTGCCCGAGTTAACTGCTTCAAGATGTCCTTGGTGTATGTTGAGCATTACCGCCTCATTTCGAACGCTGCCATTAATGATAAAGTACTACGCCTGTTATGAGCTCTTACAAGGCAGAGATTTAACTGTTAAAAGACGCAGTGTACAAGTAGTAGATAATAAGAAAGGATAGTGCGAGTTTAATAGATGGCCCGGAACGAATACGTTTGGCGTTTGGTCATTTTTGTCTTAATATTTGCAGTCTTATTGTTTTTGATGTGGCTTGATTTTTTTGACGACAAATTTTGAAATATGATTGCAGGGAAGCGCAGCTTGCCGTAAGCTTTTTACAACACATTCTTCATCTAAATTCGGTGGATGTCGCCTATTTCACATTCGATTTTCATTTTCGCTGCCGTGGACTTCGATTTCATAAGGTAATTGCAGTCATTTCTCTTATTTTGGTGCTTTTGGAGGAGCAAAAAATAATTTTACTTTCACGTTGAAGTCCAACATTTAGTGGATGGAACTAGTCCTTCTGCGATTTTTTGGTTATTTTGATATTAAATTGTTGTGGGCACATGTGAGGGGGTCATAAATGCTAACAACCTTCGGAAGGGGTAAAGCTATCGGCAACTTTTTTTCAAGCGGATGATTGCTGTTAAACCGAGCCCTCACTTGAATTACTTTCTAGTATTTCTACTGTTGGTACAGAGTCAATTCTAGCAACAGAGGGAGAAGGAAGGGGAGGGGGGACAAGTTGAATTTTTACTCCTTTATTTTGATTTCATATTTACAAAAAGAAAAATTTTGCTTATTGAATTTCTGTTATTGCATAGCCTCCTGGCGTGCTGAAAATTGACCTTATACGATGATCTGAAACCTTTCGTATTGATGAGACATTTAGTATTTGCGAGAAAAAACATGCGAAAATAATTCCTTTTTTTTTCAGGTTGCCGATTTAATTTCAGCATTATCGGAGCAGATTACAATGACCGGATTTTGTTGGGTTGACAAATCGGGTGAAATGGTGCGCGAACAGCATGGTGTAATTCGTACGAATTGTGTGGATTGCCTCGATCGAACCAATGTTGTGCAGGTAATTTGTTAGGGATATCTGTGAAAAGCCGGCAAAAATTAAGAAATTGCGTAATGCTTGTTAAGATGGTCAGGAAGCATGATGTGCAGTGTGATGTACAATTAGTTTATTCATATATTTTTACTGCTAAATGCGGAGCACAAAGTACAGTAGTGTGATGGTTAGCATCTCACAATTAAATAAGTTCGCAGTTAGTGGGGGTAAAAAGTTCGATTCCTTTCCGGTCCGTATATTTTACGAAAAAAGCTGTGTTCGAGGCATAAGAAGGCAGTGCATATTTTTTGCTCTTCGGTGGATTTTTTTTCGCAAATAATTAGGAGAGTAGCAACAGTAGATTTTTAGAGGAGAATTGCCGGTGTTTTTAGTTTACCTACAGAATCTTGTTTATTTTAGTGGGAAAAAATTTTCGAAATTATTTTTGAATTCGTCAAAATCAGAAAAAAATAATTGGCCAGCGCACGAGCTGCCCGTGCGAAGATGCGTTTTCTGCGTAGCTCCCCGCAGATTTTTATCGCTAACGGCACTGGTTTTTCTGGCAGATGCTACTTGGACGGGAAACATTGCCCTAAGATTTCATCGTTCTAGGTTTCCAGATCCCCGAGTTATGAACTTACCAGAAAAAAATTTTGGCGGACCCGTGCGTGGGTAGCACGCTTACCCGGAGGATGGGTTTGAGTGCACTAATACTTAGTTTGACGGGGAACATTGTCTTAAGATTTCTGCGTTCTAGCCTCTCAGATCCCCGAATTATGAACTTACCCGAAAAAAATTTGGCGGTCCTGTACGCGGGAACACACTTAACCAGGGAATGGATGTACTTGGACGGGGAGTAACAGTGCTCTTCACATCAATGGGGGATTGATATTGGCAAGAGCTAGGTTCTGGACCGCTTTGTTCATTCTAGACTTCTGTCGGGAATAAGCTGTGGAAGGAAAGGGGAATATGGGGCTAACCGCTTTTCAGCTGTTTTGATCAGTACTGCGTTGTCTGGTGACCAGTGTGCTAGCAGTCAGGTTTTTGTATTTCGAAAAGATTACCGGTTCAGTATCTCCGCCAGTGGAAGCACTTGACGAGGCTAGAGGCATCTCAAGATGTCTTTAGTGTGTATTGAGCGTCACAGCATTGTCCTGAATGTTGCAGCTTAAGAATGTTGACGGACTGTTTTTGAAATGTGCGAGATTTTCGTGTGACACGAGG